CAAAAAGTGGTTTTTGATAGACTTTTTGTTCCAAAATTTGTGAATTTATTTAATACTAACTTTTAGAGGTCACATATATCTTTTAATTAGCCACAATTCAAACCAATGCATAGCATTCATCCTCGCATGTTTTTTGCCGAAAAAATTAAGAAAATTGGTTCATAAATAAGCGAGAAATGAACTTATCAGTGCAAGAAAATGGTTCCGAGAAAAATGCATTTCAAAATTTTAGTTCTCATAGAAATGGTACAATGATATCTAAAACATAATATATTTTTCCTTTAAACCTAATTAGACGATCAACATTGATTGATTATTGAAGTCTAGCATATTGAGAAAAGTTCAATTTTTTTTCAAAAAGTTTTTAATATTTTGATATGCTAAAACATTGAAGTGGCCCATTAAATATGGCATTTTATTATTGAAATAGTGTGTCCTTTGTCCAATCTTTGCATTGGTGTTAAAAAGATAATCTTTTTTGAAATGCATTTAGAAATATTTGATGATTAAAAAATTTCAACTTTTTTTGAAAAATGGCGGGAAATCTGAATATTTGAGAAATGAAAAGCACACAACTTTTTTTTCAAAAATCTCTAAAATAACTTTTTAAGTCATGACAAATGTAAATGAATGATAAAAAAATATTTTCAAACTAAAGACAGGGACTTGAAGCGTATAACAAGATTTGATTTATGTGGCGCCCGCCCGCACACCCATCAGAACATTAGACGACGGCAACCTTTTCGAAGTGCGATAAAATTACTGTAGTGTACATATTCATGCATGTTTCAATAATAGAGAGCTTTCAATATAAGTTATTTGGAAAACGTATACGCAAACTTACAAGTACTCTGGAAACAAAGATAGGGTGCTTTCAAAATTCCGGTTTCAGAATATGATTACAACATAAAAATAAGTCTGCCATCGGATTCACAAATTAATCCCTTAGATTAGGAAACTAGGTAAATTTTTCTCATGAAATGTACTTTCCTGGTTTCTTCGAGGAACCTTCCTCCCCAGTGGTGTTTACCACTTTGGAAGTTAAAGTTGCAGTATAAGTTTAATTGAAAAATTATATAGAAAGCTCTCTAACACGCGTGTCTAATAAACATTTCTGTTCGTTTTAAAGTAACAAATTACACAGTTCGGTAGTACGGTATCTTATTATGACAATTTGATCAACAAATTGTTTTTTCACGTTTCTTCATTTTTGAAGACTGTTATACTGTATGTATTCAATATATTGGTAACTTATGAAAGAAAAATAAAACGACCTCAAGCAATCGCTTATTTTGTTACTTTGTAACGTAATGTAAAGTATGATGTAAAAATGGTCATTTTGAAGCAAGTTGAAAAAATACCTTTTTTTTACCTCCAATGACCTCTTATTTGTTGCCATGGTAACAGAATGTTCGCAGAAACGTGTTGGAACTCATAACAACTTACATTATACAAATAATAGATACGTTTTTAATTAATTGGCCAAAGAGTGTTAAATTTTGGATTCAATCTCAAAAAGTATGGTGAGGAAGGAACAGTTGACCTATACATTTTTTACCTAAACAAAACATCCCTACAAGTGAACTTTTTAACATCTAAGTCAAACGCTCAAGTGAATAAAAAAGAGTGAAAGTTAATTAAACGTTTCCTATGTTGTTTCTGTTTTAAATCACATAATTTTCATAATTGGCAAAAAGTTGCAAGCCGGTTGCAATAACAAAAAGACTAACAATTTTTTTTATTTTTTTTTTATTTATTTATAAAAAATAGATGTACATGGGGTAATATAGTAAATACAAGAGAGCATATTCAAGTGCTAATCACCATTTTGGCATTATAAGCACTCTAGCCAAGCGGGGAAAAAGATGAAGAGGGGTGGAAGGGGGGGGGTCTGAGCTGGGCTGGGACTGGGGGAAATACAGGGCAGAGGGACAATGTAATTTATATTTGCAAGACAAGGCAGGGTACAATAGGTTCTAAGATAGTCTTCTTCAGTCTTGTTCAATATGGGGTAAGCCATCTCTTAATAAAGGCAGAAGTCAGAGTAAAGATTTTTGTGTTTTCATCCTTGCTAAAATTATGATTGCCAAAGGCTAGGTATTCTAAAAGTGTGGATTGGTTAGTGGGGATCAAAGGAGTTTCAGTATAGAGAGTATTGAAAAAGATGGTTCTTGCATTTTCATTCAGAGGGCAGTGAAAAAAGAAGAAAGGAGACTAACAATCTGTTAGGTGCCGAATGTCTGTAAACGCAGGGATTATATCATGGTGGCTACAGGTGACAAAATTTAAATAAAATTCAATATAAAATGTTTTATTACAATAAATATTTATTATCATATAATACCAGCTATACATACAGAGTAATATACCAGACTCAATTTAGCCATTCAGAATTTCAGATATTAAAAAAATCTAAATGCAATTTTTGAATTCCAAAAAAGGAGAATTAGACTAAAATAGTGATAAGATCCTATGAATGACTTTTGTTGAAACAAAAACTGTACACAATGCTGACTAATAATACAGGCAAGTTGTATTTTATTTCACTTAAATTAATGTATATTGCTTACAGCAGGGACATGCATTACATGTTGAATATTCATGTTTCACATAAAATACTTATTAAAATACTAGTGATACACAGGTTATTTGGCTCTTGTGGTCATTACATGAAGCATAAATGATTGATAATACTAAACTTATTTATTGTTTTAGTAAAATTAACAAACATTCAAAATATGTTTAAAAATGCATGCAAATTCCACCATTTTCTGCTCAACATAATCAGGATGCCATTTAAAAACTGGTGTAATTTAATTTTTTTGTTTGTAACAAAATATAATTTCTGTAAAACAATCAAACTTAACAGCAACAATAAGACAACGGCTTCATACTACACTCTCTCCTTACACTTCTGCCTTCTACACGTTTTAGATCAGAAGAAAAACAGGGACACTTTATAGTGATCTAACCTTCATTTATTTATGTTCAATGCATACTTCAGGCAATCAAAGCTTTTCAACATTTAAGGTCCAATGTATACTAAGGACATTCAAAGCTTTTCAACCTTAAAATATTCAATGTATACTTAGGACATTCAAAGCTTTTCAACCTATTCCAGACATTCAAAGCTTTGCAACCTTAAACTTTCAATGTATAATACAGGCATTCAAAGCTTTTCAACCTTAAATTTTCAATGTATACTTCAAGCATTCATAGCTTTTCAACCTAAAAGGTTCAATGTATACTTCAAGCATTCAAAGCTTTTCAACCTAAAAGGTTCAATGTATACTTCAAACATTCAAGGCTTTTCAACCTAAAAGCTTCAATGTATCCTTCAAGCATTCAAAGCTTTTTAACCTAAAAGGTTCAATGTATCCTTCAAGCATTCAAAGCTTTTCAACCTAAAAGGTTCAATGAATCCTTCAAGCATTCAAACCTTTTCAACCTTAAATTTCCAATGTAAATTACAGGCATTCAAGCTTTTCAAGGGTTTGCTGAATATACATTCCAAGATGTTAAATAGAAACAAGTTTGCTACACAAATATCCAAAGCTACTCATCCTCAAAACCCATTCACTACACACTACATGTATCCAAAGCTGTTAAACCTGTTCATGAATTTATGGCTGTTTAACCTCAACTGGTTTTACTGTACAATATTTTCAAAGCTGTTCAACCTCAAAAGTTCTTTACTGTACAGAGATTCAAAGCTGTTTAACATCAGTTTTAATGTTCAATGTTTTCAGAGCTGTTCAACCTCAACTGCTTTTACTGTACAATGCATTCAAAGCTAGTCAACTTCAACTGCTTTTAATGAACAATGCATTCAAAGCTGTTCAAATTCAACTGCTTTTAATGTACAATGCATTCAAAGCTAGTCAACTTCAACTGCTTTTACTGTACAATGCATTCAAAGCTGTTCAACCTCAACTGCTTTTACTGTACAATGCACTCAAAGTTGTTCAACCTCAACAGGTTTTACTGTACAATGCATTCAAAGCTGTTCAACTTCAACTGCTTTTAATTAACAATGCATTCAAAGCTGTTCAAATTCAACTGCTTTTATTGAACAATGCATTCAAAGCTAGTCAACTTCAACTGCTTTTACTGTACAATGCATTCAAAGCTGTTCAACCTCAACTGCTTTTACTGTACAATGCATTCAAAGCTGTTCAACCTCAACAGGTTTTACTGTACAATGCATTCAAAGCTGTTCAACTTCAACTGCTTTTAATGAACAATGCATTCAAAGCTGTTCAAATTCAACTGCTTTTAATGTACAATGCATTCAAAGCTAGTCAACTTCAACTGCTTTTACTGTACAATGCATTCCAAGCTGTTCACCCTCAACTGATTTTAATGTACAATGCATTCAAAGCTGTTCAATCTCAACAGGTTTAACTATACAATACATTTAAAGCCGTACAACCTCAACAGGCTCTGCTGTACATGTATTCAAAGCATTTTAACCTTGGCAAGGTTTACAGTACACCATACGCTACATGTTTCCAAAGTATGACTATGTATGAATTACATATGTTCATATTATAGACTTATAAAATGTCTAAATTTGGATTTTGAAATATATGGACGTATGAATTACATGTATGATAATTGTATGAACTGAGAATGTCCGATATCTGGATGCATGAGTTACATATGATAATCATATGAATTGAGAATGTCCATGATCAAGTATCTTGATGTATGAGTTACATATGACAATCATATGAACTAAGAATGTCTAATATCTAGTTGTATGATAATCGTATGAACTGAGAATGTTTGATTTCTGGATGCATGATTTACATATGATATTCCTATGAACTGAGAAAGTCCAATATCTGGATGTATGGGCTACATGGCTGCATGTAATCGTATAAGCTAAGAATCTCCCTTAATTATATCTGGATGTTTGTGGTACATATGATAATCATATGAATTGAGAATGTTCAATATCTGGATGAATGGGGCTACACGACTGAATGTAATCTTTTAAGCTAAGAATCTTCCATAATTATATCTGGATGTTTGTGGTACATATGATAATCCTATGAGCTGAGAATGTCTGAAATATCTGGTCTGGCAATCTGGTAAGTGATCAAATGTTCTGGTAGAGCCTGGAATAAAAAAGTAAGTTTTATCAAACATTTTAGCAAGATAAGTAGTATGTCAGGGCATAAAAATATAGTTTAGGATGGTCTCATCTCTTTTACTTTGGTTTTTCGCAAATTGTCCCTCATATGGACATGTAGATACCACAAGAAATAAAATTGGGTAAAAATTGACATCATAATATTTTAACCTAACACGCAAAATCAAATCAGAAAAGGCTTACATAAAAATGCTTTTAAAAATGTAAATCAACATTCTAATGAATCTTTTGACCCAAATCTCTGTGTAAAGTAAACTTTCCAAAGAGCCTGATACTTTTACAGTATTTATGAAATCAATGTCATTAGTAATTTATCACCATGACAATATTAAGGTAACTCACCTGTTCTCCTCTATATACAACATACTCCGCAAATGTGAGTCCCCCCACACTGGGGCGCCCGATGACAGAGTGGTGTCCTGGGGGAGCATGCGCCATCTTCATTGCACTGAACTGGAGAAAAGATTTACCTAACGCCACCCTACATAAGACTAGTTGTCTGAAAAGCAAATGTTACTGGCTTTATTTAACAGATACTATTTAGAGAGCTTCCTTCCTTTTTTAGTATATTAACTTCTCATATGGCTTGTTGCCATTTCAACATTGATATTTGGTGCTGTTTGGACACTGATCTGACATCGAACTATTCACAGAAATAATTGTTGCAGACTTATTCTTTGACCTTGACTCTGATGTCATAGCAATGACATATTGATCATAACTGTTGTAGCAGTAGTGTAATGAATATATTCAATAGTATGACAATACCAAGTTTTCCATGTGCGAGATTATCACTGTAATATTGAACAGTATTGTGAAGCTAAATCACATTGACTACTTTCAAACTGTTCAATTGATGGTATTCAATAGAGAGTCAGAGCTCATATTATTCACCCCCCCCCCCCTCCTCCCCCCTGAGAGATATAGAAGAAATGTGTAAAGGATGCAGTCATTGAGGTAAATAATGTCATGCCCTACCTGTGACAAGTGTAGCACGATCTATCTTTATGGACAGGGCATCCAGTGCCGCCACCTATACCATACACATACTGGTTACTCTTTGAAGAATTCTCAGCGAAGTAAATACCTGCAATAAGAAATGAAAACACAAATGTGAAAAATGCACCCGTTTATGATGAAATATATGGATATCAATAAACTGCCCACGCGCTTATGATGGAAAAATATGGTATAAATCCATTTTTAGGAGATGTCTTTGATGATGACATTATCATATAAGCATGCTGCAAAATGTTCCAACTATTGTCTTTTTGAACTTAAACTAAATAATGATGCCATATGTATTGAGATTTACCTGCTCCAAACATGCCTCCAATATAAGCATGTCTCTCATCAAAGCCTTTGTGAACTATAGCATTGATAAAAGGAGATCCGTGGAATAAAAGTTTTTCATTTTCGTGGCCATGATTTTCTTCTGCAACCTCCTTTTTCCGATGACTGTATTTTTCTAAAAGTTTTTTGTTCCTTATCTTTTGTATCTGAAAAATTATTACTGATCACAATTAAGTAGGAAATATAAAATAAATAATTATTAATCAAATATAAATTTGATGTGTCATAACAAACAATTCTATTTATACCATATAAGGAGCCAAGTGGAAATACTTGAGCTTAATTTCAGTTAATAATAAAAGTGATACTTTAATATTTCAAAGTGAATAAGTGACACATTGATATTTCACAGTGAATTATTGACATACTGACATGACTGAACATATAATTGGATTGTCAAATATGTCACAAAGTTACATTAATCAGTTGACAACAAACATTGATTTCAATTCGGTATTAAACTTAATCCTTACTTTTATGATGTTGTATCGTGAGAAGACACCTCCGCAATTGTCCTTGTGTTCCCTTATAGTTGACTGAATCTGAAGAAGAAAATGTAATATGTGAGTTGTAACAAACCAAAGAAAACAAAGTTCAGCTGTAACACTGGAATTACAAGTATAACTTGCTATGAGGCAGGTAAGGCAACTGCCTAACCAGAACTAATAAAGTTTTTAAACATAATAATCTCCTTGGCTTTAAACTTACCTATTATTTTTGGATTCTGGCTACTCCCTGGAAATACTGTTAATATTTCCAGGCTAGTGACACGGCATGACTCAACAACATTGTAAAATATCCTGGAGTGTATTAAAGAGGACTTCAATATAGTTGCTAAAAATACCTGTTCTTCCACTGATATGTACTCTGGGTCATCAGGCGAAAGGTCAATAAGCATGGTGCCCGATGTGCTAGCCCCAGGGGCATTCACCAGCAGCTGGGTAGTAGTTCCCCCACTGATCAGCTTCTCCACCCCTTTAAGGACTTTGTGTCTATGTCCATAAGCATTAATTCCTATCTCCTTTAGTTCATCATGACCCATCTCTGCCAGGATATCCATTGTGATCTGCTCACGTTCAAATATTTCCTTCAAGTGATCCAGGCCGAGACCATTCAAGAAAGCACCTGTAATAAATTGAAATTGTCGTTTAAGTTTTTTCATGTCATTTACTTCTGTATTTCTATTGACTTATTACACTATACTTCATTTACCTTTTACAATATACAACTGATATTGAGTAATCTGATAGTATTAATACATTAGAACCACTGTCAGAAGTTTGTAGTTTAGCAAAATTTCCTATTTCTTCAGACACAAATGAGTACCCTGTTTTTAAACATTTCTTCTTGTTTAAGTAAATTAAATATACAATGTATATAAATTGAGGTCAAGTAACCACACAGTAAACCAACACCAAACACATTCATTGAATGGCAAGGTCGATACTTGCTAGTCTAAGGAAAATGGAATGTTTGATTTCTATCACCACACCATTTTCATCTAATTCAATGATTATGGTATGTCATTCTCTGTCAAAACTTTCAATTGTCAAAACTATTGATTGAAGAACCAACAATAAATGTTAAACTCACCTATTGTGACTGTATCTAGGTTCCCACTGAGAGCACCTTCAGCCATGGTACGCTCAGCACACCCATCACCGATACCAGCGCCACCTACCGCTCCAACCAAATGGTCTAAGCTGCCCGATCGTATGAGACTGAAAGATATTATGAATTGTGATTATTCTCTGTTCAGATCATTTCTTGAAATGTCCTACATACCTATATCGACATAAAAAAGCCTCGAGGCTAAACTAGAAAACAGCAACAGCGCAGTCGCAAATCCCACCAAACAAAACATACTTTATTAAATACCTTGTTATTTTGGACTTGATCAGTGTGATAATTAGAGGTATATATTGGAATATATAACGTCTAATAATTTCAAACAAATCAATCAAGTAATTCAAGCCACCTATTTTTATGATGCCATTCTAAATTTCAGGGCAGAAAAGGATGAACTTTGCTAATTTTCAAAATTATTTTATAATTTCATTCACAAACATTGCAGCCAGCAAGGTGGGCAAGGTGTAACATCATAATTCTAGTTTTCTTGGCTCATGAAAATGGGCAGGATTTACTGGAAAGATCTACTGATAACAGAACAGGACTTTAGCATGATTTACTTACTTGCTTGAGGATGAGATTTTTGGTGTTGAAGTGGCACTGGGTTGTGTGGAGATAGTAAGCGCAGAGAGTGGAGGCATCGCATCTGATAACAATGCCCTTACATCCTCTGCAGATGTGAGATCAAGTGGGGTCTGTCCCTCCTGGTTCTTCAGGGTGGGGTCAGCACCATGGGCTAGGAGTAATGCACATAGCTGGGTACGACCTTTCTGCGATGCTTCGTGGAGCGGAGTGAACCCCCATCTATCCACTGCATTGACACATGTGCTGAACTTTATCAAGAGAGCTGCTATATCTACATGCTGAAATAGACACAAGACAACTTTACATGTGCTGAACTTTATCAAGAGAGCTGCTATATCTACATGCTGAAATAGACACAAGACAACTTTACATGTGCTGAACTTTATCAAGAGAGCTGCTATATCTACATGCTGCAAGAAGGCACAAGACAACTTACTGTGAACATTTTGCTCACCTTAAAAAGTTGAGAGTACATTGCATCTCTTTAAGGTTTATCACAAAAGAAAGGAAGGTTGTGGCTTACAGTAAAGTTGGCAGAATTAAATAAGAATTTTGGTTCATTATTCAACTGAACATTTTCTTAGAAGTTTTACATATTAACTCGGATTCAAATGGAACTGATTTTGTCAGACCTACAGAACAATTAGATTGATATACACTTGCCTTGAAAACAGAGAGATATTAATCATAATGATAACATTTCTAATGAGTCAATTAACTTGGGCAGATAATATATACTTTTAAAACGTGTCAAAAATCTGCCTATGCCCATACTTCATCATTCCAAATGGAGTTTATATCAAGTTTGAACAGGTGACTTACACCATATGAGGAAGCATTGTGTAGTGGGATTAGACCTCCTTTGTCTTGAGCATTAACATCTGCACCATTCTCCAGTAGGAACTCTGCCACCTCCACATTGTTGTAGCCAGCTGTCAAGTAAAAAAATTAAGATTATCTTTATATTTCTAAATTTAAAATTATTCCTAAAATTGAATCTAGAAAAATTTGGCAGAAAGTATGAGTTTGTCAAGAAAATTGGGGGAAAATTGGAGAAGGAAAAGAAAGGGTTTAACAAATAAAAGAAATATTGCGAGAAAAACAGGGTTTCTTCTTGGCATAAAAAATTGAGATTCTCCTGATTTAAATTCAAATGTGACAGGTAAGCATGTGTGGAGATGTTGGATAAGATGATAAGTGAGTCAGCAAAACTGTCACACTTCTACTGAAGCCAGGCCTCATTGCTCACCTGCAAGATGCAGTGGTGTAGAGTTCCTCCCCTGCGAATCACGACAGTTAATATTCTCTTGGGTTGATAATTTTTGTACTCTGGCAAGATTGCCTTTCTTAGCTGCCTCTAAAAGAGCTGCATCTCCCCTTAATAGGTCAGCTACATCATTGTCTCCTTCTTTGACTAGATCTAGTGGTGTGTTGCCATCACGATTCTTCTTGTTAGGATCTGCACCATGCTAAAGAATAGAGGAACTGAGTATTTTATTTGCTCTGTAAGAGTCCAGACAGGGAAGAAGGAAGAAACAGAGTGGATGTCTGGAGCCCTGCATTTATTAGAATGAAGATTAATATCTAAGATATATAATACAAGAAATATAAATTTGATAAAATAGATTAAAAGATGATTGCAAGTATAATCAACACCAAATCATAAATTTAAAATGCATTTACAGAGCAGTGCCAGACACAGCCCCTCCTATTATCCCTATGTCATTGTGTTAAGAGGTTATTGAATATGATTAGAGAAATACACCAGCACAGTTGCTCATGCTATATCTTCACCATACGCATTATTAAGGCAATTTTTTATACCCAACACAACTAAAGTAAAAAATACAGACTTCCCATTCAGAGTTATCTGTTCTAAATAGAAGAATAATGCAGACTTATATTCATCAAAGACTAATTAAAAGATTATGTAAGCTTTCTTACTTTAAGTAAGAGTTTACAGATTTCAAATTTTCCTTTAGCAGCTGCCTCATGTAGAGGTGTGAACTTCCAGAGGTCAGCTACATTCACTCCTGCCCCATGTTCAATTAGTAGCTCGGTCACCTCATAATGGCCATAAGAGCAAGCATTGTGTAGTGGAACTAGACCCCTGCAATATAGAGAAGCTAGTGTTCAAATCCAGACATTAAGGCAGTAAGAAAAAAACAATACATGAAAAAACAATTCTGATATAAATAGCATGTAAAGCTTTGATGTTACTAAAAAGGAGTTTAGGCATATCAAAATATAAAATTCATTTCATAAATAAGCCCATATGAATCCATATTTCATGTTCTCATTCACAAAAGCCCATGATGTGGACAGAGATTGGATTTTGTTTCTTTGAACATTGATCCAGTCATACCCATGAGATTTCACCTCGCCCCTTTGTAATTTGGCAAATTGCAGTCTTGTGATACGATACAATATATCGGACACCTTAGCTCCAAGGCAATGAAGTTCCAAGGCAATGAGATTTAATAAAATAATTTTTTGTATTTCTAGTCCTTCTAGTACTATACCATATTATTAAATATGCCTACCCTTTGTCTTTAGCATGTACATCTGCACCATGTTGTAGTAGGTGTTCGACTACAGCGACGCGATTATAACCACCAGCAAAGTGTAAAGGCGTAGAATGACGACCGTCTAAATCTCGACAATTCACAGCCAGAGGGTGAGATGAGACCAACTTCTTCACAATGTCCATATCACCTGCCTTTGCTGCTTCAAGAAGTTGGATATCCACATCAGAGCTACTAGTGGGTGGGTCATCTAAAATGTAGTATGTGGGGAAAAGTGATTACATGTTACTGGTTGAGTTGATCTGTGCTTAAATGAATTCATGGATGAATAACTCTGTGGTTGAATTTCCATAAAAGTGTCTCATATTTCATATTTGATTATTTTAGTGAATGTACCTCTAAGCATTTTTGCAATATTGTCAGGGGCAAGCTGGGCAGCTGTGTATCCCTGTAGTGATACTATGGATGAATCTAGACCATATGAGAGTAGGAGTCTACAGGCCTGCATGTTCCCTTGTTGAGCCACCCTGTGTAGTGCTGTCTGACCAAGTAGATCTATAGCATTCACCTTAAATAAAGGGAACAATAAAACATTCTGTATATCAAGTTATTCAAGAAAATATGAGAATAGACCTTAAAAGGCCTGCATATAATCTTTGGCTACCATGGAGTGTTGAGATGATTTATACCATTCAAAAACGTTAATGTTGATTTAAAATAAATAATAATAAAAAGTTTTCTCGTTTCTTGTATCATAATTATGTCTATTTTCAACTGTTTGGAAGGAATTTGGAAATATTTGTTTGTAATTATCCTTGTCATTGATCCATTTAATCATGAATAAATATATCCTTGTTGCTTATTTATCTCAAATATGTTCAGGATTTTTAGATCATGAAAAAGAGATAAAGAGTGAGCTCTGAAGTCATTATTTGTTGCGATCCTTGCAAATTTTTCCTGCGAGAGATGAAGAGTATTAATCATGTACAGTCTGCTTCGCCCCAGATATAATATTACCATAAATAAGATATGAGTATAAGTACCTTATCATTCATAATGACTGATATTTCATTTTTATTATATTGCTTTTGTCTTGAAGAAAATATGATATACGGTATTTAGTCTTCTTTACATTTAATGAAAGTATATTTGTGGCTATCCATTAGGGGGTTCCACAATACGAGAAATTTAATATCGATACGTATCTACGATTAGCTATACGATACGAACGATACGATACAATGATACAGCGTGAATTGAAGTAAAACTGAACTTTATTCTAATATTTCAAACTTGTGAAGCCGGAAGTACTTCAGCCAGATTACGTTTATTTCTCATCACAACAAAGAAAGGTGTAAAATATGCTAACATCAATTAAAACATCTTAAAGACGTGTGGTATTCGGGAACTATCGGGGCAATCGAAGGCGGCAAGCAAGATACGTAACTATGACTGTCATCTCTAAGCTCTGAGTTTTTCCCTTCCTTTGGGTAAGTAAGAAGGAACTTCCGATCAAAAAACGATACGACCGATATTCATTTTATGTATCGATACAGCTCGTATCGGAGGTGAATTGCTCGAAGCTCGCGGTACCCCTACTATCCATTCCTCAATTAGTTTCAGTTCAGCATTCAATGCTAAAGTAATTCATTGCCAAGTAGAGATCATAATTTCTTCGCCGTCAAGTATGACGATCGGTGGCTCTATGATACCTCCTCTGTTGGAGTAGCTCTAATGGTAGAGAGTTAGTAGCTACAAAACTATATAGAGTTCAGGAATGTAGGGCAATGTAACAGAGCTGTTCTTGAGGAGTTACGGCTTCTTATATAGGCTTGACAAAATAGTTCTTACCTTAGCACCTTGCTTGAGTAGTATATCCATGATATCAAAATGGGCCTTGTCAGCTGCCACATGTAGAGGAGTTAGCATGCTAGAACACAAGATAATCTTACATTTCATTTTAACCAATGGTAGGGTGTAAACATATTTTCAACAGGATATCATTGAATTTTCAGATTTTCAACTATGTGGAACACTCACTTTGCATTTATCCTGGGATGATCAACAATTTTAAGTAATATATCATAAAAAATGCCGGGGTGTTCACTTATTGATTTAAAGCTCTTCTTAACTTTTCATATGGGGATCCTCCTACACTTGAAAATCAAGTCAAATGGCAAGAAAACAACACTTACTCTTTATTTTTATCATTCAAATTAGCACCTTTCCTAATGAGGGCCTCCGTGACTTGTTTGCGCTTGGGGAATGGAGAGGCAGCGGCACAATGCTGAAGTACAAGTGTACAAATGTATACTAACACATTATCTGATATTGTTCATACAATGAGAGAGAGGAATGGTATCTTCTGCATGAGTGATATGAGACTCAGCAGACACTGTCTGCACTGTGTATTGCCATACTAATGGAGGGGAGTGTATTGCCATACTAATGGAGGGGAGTGTATTGCCATACTAATGGAGGGGAGTGTATTGCCATACTAATGGAGGGGAGTGTATTGCCATACTAATGGAGGGGAGTGTATTGCCATACTAATGGAGGGGAGTGTATTGCCATACTAATGGAGGGGAGTGTATTGCCATACTAATGGAGGGGAGTGTATTGCCATACTAATGGAGGGGAGTGTATTGCCATACTAATGGAGGGGAGTGTATTGCCATACTAATGGAGGGGAGTGTATTGCCATACTAATGGAGGGGAGTGTATTGCCATACTAATGGAGGGGAGTGTATTGCCATACTAATAGAGGGGAGTGTATTGCCATACTTATGGTGGGGAGTGAACATGCAAAATAGATTCTTTAATAATTGTACTTACTAGAGCTGTGTCTCCAGTATATGGGTGCTTGAAGCCTATCATATCTGATGTAATGTACTTCTTAACTCTTGCAGGATCAGCCTGTCTAGCACCCTCCAATAAGCAATGACCTTTGTACTCATCTACAATTCAACAAGACTAACTTAGGTTCACAATACATTAGTAGGATAGCTAGTGTTCATTTTTTCAAAATACACAATCTTCTTACAATGGCTCGGTAACTTGATCGTGCACACATGGCAAATTTTTCATAATCATATTACAAAATTTATTCTATTCTACAAGCATACGTATAATATATACCATGGTAGTATATATATATATATATATCATGGTAATATGGTAGTATCTAATTTAATTAATTCTCAGTTAATCAAACATTGATTCCAATCTTCATATACTTACACATGAGTCTTTGTTGTAGGTCTAAAGTGGGGGCTAGATCTATTGCACTCTTGGAACCAGCATTAACTAGAAGAAAAGCAAAACATACATATACAATTGAAATAAAGTAATTTCAAAAAGTATGTTTAAATAAGCATACGCTCGCTCAAAGCACTTTTCTAAAAGAACAAAATATGTTTTAATTATGAAATATGTTAAATTAACCTTTCAAAATTATTGTGAGCATAAATAAAATTTGAGCTCGAAATATATATGAATGCAAGTTCAGTGTTTATTGCAATACCATAATTAGATTACTAACTAGCCAAAACTAGTCATTAGAATAAAATACATAATTCAAACTTTGTAAACAAACATTACTCCAAAGTTATCTACTTTCACATCATATTTGAGAACTACTTACATTGCAGTCTCTCTTGGAGTTCTCTAGTGGGCGCCACATCTATTGGGCTCTTGGAATGGCAGTTAACCAGTGTTGGGTCAGCCCCATGTGCAAGCAAGAGAGAGCAGACCTCAGCACGTGCTTTACTAGCTGCCTCATGTAGTGGAGTAAACTGCCATAGGTCCATGGCATTCACACTAGCCCCATGCTAAAACATTAACAGTAGTACAGGATATAAACATGATGCAAGAACATTGAATAAAGTCTACATGTAATCAGATTAAATCAATCAAAAACAGACTGATGTGAATCTGCAACCTTCTGAAAATACCATCAAAGGACATCAATTGAAAATGCTTCATAAAAATACCAGGAAAATTATTTAAGTTTCTTTAACAAGTTATTCACCCTTCTCTGGATTATTGCAAAAATTCAACTGTGTCAAACTTCTTAACTAAGGTATACTTTAATGGTTTCTAAACAAAAAATAGACTGCACTTTGTTTTATAATCTAAATAAATAATGGTAAATATTTCACAAGCTAGTTTTATTCCAAATGTTACCTTAAGCAGCAGTTCAGTGACCTCAAAGTGACCATAGGAGCAAGCATTATGCAAAGGTACAAGACCCCTGAAATCACAAATAATAAAATAACAAGTCATGAAAAAATCAGAAATGAAAATTAAAACACATTTTCAAAATTTAAATGGAGCCTTTAAATAAAATTTACAAAGACATTAAAACAATTCTTGGAATTGAGACAAGGTGTAACTTAGGAAGCCCAATTTCTTCTCCAGAAGTGAATATTAAAATTAGGGTTGGAAATGCCTGTATAGAAAATACTACATACTTTATCTAATGACCAATCAAAATAAATTACCCCTTATCCTTTGCTTGTACATCAGCCCCATGCTGTAGCAAGAGTTGCACTATTCTAGTCCTATTGTATCCCGCAGCAAGATGCAAGGGTGTTGACTGAAATAGAATGTTACGTCTTAGTGTTTGGGATGGATGTCATTTTCAATGTTAGTACAATGCAAAAAGTTAAATTAAAACGGAGCCAGGGAATGCTACTTATGGGGGGTTACATGAAACTAGAAGTATCATACAACTGGCACTTTTTGGAATTTATCTATAACCTCTGTTTCTCTCATTTCAGCATCTACACAGTTTAGTAAGGGTGAATGTGAAATAATCTGGAGAGAAATTTGATAGAATCTCACAAAATTCCAAGAATTTCATATTTTTCATCCAAAATTACATTTGAATTCTGTTATTTAGGTTTTAAGTTTTGAGTGAGAAAAAATAGATTAGAGAAAATTCAAGTGAGGTATTACACCTCTAAAAGTGTAGCAAGCACCCAGCAATAGTGGTTGGAAGACTGACTCGTGTACTCGAGTTTTACTCGCATTTGTCCTAAAAATCAATTGATCGAGTTGAAAACTTGAACTCACGATTTGAAATTTTTACCAAAAAAATATTTTTCACTCGTTTTCACCTAACCTTGACTCGCGATTCGTCTCTCCTATTCGCAATTTCCATGCTTATAGTTGTAATGTTCTGCTTAATCTGTATAGAATACAACTTATTTTCTATTTAATGCCATGTGCGGAAGACAAACATACTTGGATTTTATTCTGCTTTCGTTATTTTTATGCAAAAGTTTCATTTCCGGTTTGATGCATTCTGGGAATATCCAACAGCCGGGAATTTTAAAATTTGTCTACCGCGGTGCATCCTGGAACTTTCTGGATTGACGAAGTTTGTTTTCACTATTTATCCGGTAAGTTTTACTATCTATAGGGGACTAGGGGTGAACTTTAACGATCTTTAGGGATGTGCAATACGATTTAGACATTAAAAAGTATAGAGGCACTTGAAAGACTTGATCAAATTGATGAATTGTGAAGTTTTACAAAAGTAAATTTTCTATTAATTACAATACAAACCTATTCCATGACTTATGCTTATACCCCTAATTTGGAAAAATGGACGAGTCTAAAAATATCAAAATACAAGACCTTACACCCCTATATATACCAATATATGTGCATGCCTTCATAAATAGTACGCAGTAAAACTTGATAAAACATATCAAATAAAATACTGCGGGGAGGCTGGGTGGGCCTCAGGTCATGGAATAGGTTTGTATTGTAATTAATAGAAAATTTACTTTTGTAAAATTTCACAATTACATACAATCCAACCTATTCCATGACTTATGCTGAATAAAAAGCTATGGTGGAGGGAGAAAACCCAAAAACAAAGTAAGAATAAGATAAACATATTACCATCCTACTGTGTCACACAACAAACCAGTCGTCCTGTGATTGAAACATCCATTTCCTATCCACAGCTGAATCCTGAACGGAGATTGCATTATGTCTTAGGTATCATAGTTTTGGTGAAACCATATCTATAATACACTAAGAAGCAGGCAGGTATGATGAACAAAAGTTACAACAGTGACAAGCCCCTATGTAGGTCTTCAAGGGCGTTACTGAAGTCAGACGAACTGAACAACAGAGCACCCCTCTACAATGCAGTAATGTACCTGACATCTCATCGGTGTCCTACTAGAATCCAACATCTAAGGAAGGGATAAACTTACTTACTAGAATCCTGGATTGTGACTGCATGATGTCCTTGAGATCCTAGCTTTGGTGAAAACAACATCCTATAATGCACTAAGAAGCAGGCAAGTTTGATGAAACAAAGTTACAACAGTGACATGCACCTATGTAGGTCTTCAAGAGTGTTCCTGAAATCAGAAAAACTGAACAACACAAAATATGGAGACTGCATGATGTCCTAGGTATCATAGTTTTGGTGAAAACCACATCTATAATACACTAAGAAGCAGGCAAGTTTGATGAACAAAGTTACAACAGTGACATGCCCCTATGTAGGTCTTCAAGAGTGTTCCTGAAATTAGAGGAACTGAACAACAAAAAATATGGAGACTGCATGATGTCCTAGGTATCATAGTTTTGGTGAAAACCATATCTATAATGCGCTAAGAAGCAGGCAAGTTTGATGAACAAAGTTACAACAGTGACATGCCCCTATGTAGGTCTTCAAGACTGTTCTTGAAATCAGAAGAACTGAACAACAAAAACATCCCCTAAAATGCAGTAATATCGGTTATAATGAAAACACGCGCTACGCGCTAACGCGCTAGCGCACTAACGCACTGTTCAGAATGATCGTTCCCACAGGCCCAGGAACATGTATCGAGTGAGTGAAGAGATTAGGTGGCGCATCAGAAAGCAGAAGTATGAAGAAGCCCAATGTTTGATCGTTAATTGTGCAAAGATTATCGATTGTCAGTGTGTTTTATCTGATTTAAAAGGAAGACAAATAGAAAGTAGCACCTTACAAGATGAATGGTCGCAGATATGCGAATACGCTCCCTATTTCATTGCATTATTTGGGTCCATCCATCGGCGAGAAAAATCCCGTTTCGAAATCTGAGCCGGGGGCCCGACTACTTGACTAATGACTTAATATAATGTTTATTTGTCGCATGTTACCTCTTAATATCAAGTCATGGATGTTTTATAGATCTTTACTCTTTGTATTTGAAGTTATATCTCTCAGACTTACCAAACGGTGGGAAAATTTGCAGGCGTCGCATTAATATTTTTCTATTTTTCCTTTCGTGC